ATCCGTGGACTGCATTGATCTAAAAGTTGTCGTAAAACCAAACAACTACAGAACAATGGGAATCAGTCGACATCTTTTGGTGAGATCGATCTTTTCATCAGTCACTTTCGTACGAAATGAAAATCTCCGCAACACTAATATTGAAACTAGGATGTTGTTAGTTCAAAGTTTGTGATCAAGGCAATATCAAGTTCCTAAATGTCAAAATTCCATTAAGCCAATTTGTATAGCATTGTAACATGAGTTTAATCGAGGAGACGACCCATGAAGGCAATGCCTGATATCTGCAAGCATGGTAATCAGAACTCTGCTCGGTGAGGCGGCAGTGTAAGTGATTATATGGCCTTGAGAAAAAGGTATATTGGTACTATAACCGAGTGAAATCGATCAACCATAAAGATGGGGAACGGATCTACAGGACCATGAAGAAGATCCGAATAGGGGGCCCGAGTCGGATTAGCCAATCAAAGGAGAGGGGGTCAGGGTAAACAGCATGTGTGATGAGGCCACACTAGATTTGCCACAAAATGGCACACATTTTGACGAAAGGAATGTAAACAAGTGCGAAGTTGTGATAGGGCAGGAGTTGAATAAGTCTCCCGGACAACAAGACCCCGTTGCGACAACGAGGTCAACCCACTTCTATTACAAATGGTGTTTGTATATTCAAAGAATGAAATGACTGCAGAGCCTCGGTTTATGAGCTAAGCTGTTTTTGGGGCTGGATTATGAGGCATAGAAATTAGGGAGAAAAAGAAGGCGATGTGTAGGTACATATAAACAGAAGACTAAAGCCGAACCCAGCCAAAAGTCTGTTTGCAATGGTCTCTCAGGCCTACCCGGTCCAAAAGAGTGATAACGACCTCCAGCAGATGGGTTGTTGCATCCAGCAGCAGCCTGCACTCGCCGCGCAGCGAGTGAGCCGGCGGTTGAGTTGCCAATGGTAGATGGGGCCAGTTCACAAGCGATATGTCTGGCCTCGTGCATCCGAGGAGGCTGTTGCGTGAACTGGCAGATGCCCGGGTCTGTGGTCTCACTAGATGACCCGCCTGACCCCCCTCCACCGACACTAATGCCGGTTCCGCCGGTCTCTGAACCTACGAGATCGGACCCACTTATGCCAGGACCACTGGGGCCTCCTGGAAGAGGCAGTCGGGCGAGTCCAGTCTGGAGAAAAATCAAGGGTTAAATACAAAAGGTCTTAGATAATACTTGAAAATGCGAAAAATTACACCCGCTCCAGGGGTGCAAATATAAAGTGAACAAATTATCTGATTTCTTGAGTGCAAATGATATCACCAAGGTTATTTAATCACAAATTGTAGTCCTAGCATGAGGGTCTCCTAAGAAATATGTTACACAATTGTGAATCATTTGTCTATTAGTTGACATTTTTATGTGTTAAGCAATTCTTATAGCACTAAATACCTTTGCGCCATCTTTAAACCAATGCAGGTTGATTCTAAATTCAAGAACCTAATATCAGTCTTATGTCATCTCTTCGAGGTGGACAATGATTGTTTTCAGAACGAATTATATGCACCTTTGATTGCCTCTATGAGCACACGATCCCTCGAACCCC